ATTTTTCCATCGTCTTATGAATGATTCTGATTACAAGGGTGTCAGAAATAAGGGCGCTCGAGGATTTAAAACCTCCGCCAGGACAGTAAGAAACTTTTGGTCCAGTGTCAATACTTTAAATCACAAATATCCCGTCATTTTCTTACTGCGCGGAACTCTAAAACGGGCTGAAGTGCATTTCCAAGGTTTAATTTACGCCCGCGCCGCATAGTGGCCCGAGCTACACGCTAATTTCTCATGGAAGGTTCCCCGGTCATTTTCAACTTTCCGTGAAAATATTACAACTATCAGAATACCTTAATCAGCTTGACGCGGAGGACGAATACACACGTTGCTCGCAGATGAAATCCAGTTTGGAAACTAGCCGTAGTTCCGGGCGTTATTTCGACCAGGCCAGTCACGGCGCATAACACGCGGCGTCGTGGCGTAAAAGCGTCGCGTCGTCTCGTCAAGAGACGGTGTGGAACGGTGTCACGTAGGGCGAGGGGGTCGAAGGGAGCGTGGCTTTCACCCCCTGACAACGTTCGCGAGGCACGTTCCGCAAATATAAGTTGGCGAATTTCCGGCCAGAGTACTTGGACGACTTTAATTACTCCGCGACCGTGAGAATCCGTGGAGCGGCGTTGCATTAAGCTACTCGCGGGTCGATATCGTTAACGACGCCGACAGACGAAACGACGAGACGAGAGACCCTCCTTTTCGACGGGAAGACTTTTCGACGGGCAGAACTGGGGAAGGAAGGGATTGGAAAATTACCGTCGCCTAAGCCGCCCTAGGATCTCTTCCGTTCATTCGCCTCCCTCTTCTCCTACGTTCAATTATTCTCCGTCGAGCTCCCGTATAAATAAGCCTTGATGAAGTCCGGAACGGTGGCGAATCGCCATGGTGCTAACAGTATTAAAGATTTATAACTCAGCGACCAGCTACGGAGGAATTATAAAATGCTTAGAAGCTCTATGAAGGTGTGGTTGGTCAGTGTCGCACAGGAAGCCACGGGTTCGCTTTCATAAGCGAAGACGCAAGTCGAGGTACATGGTTGCTTCGAATTTAAAGGGAACGGTGTTGATTTGTGTCACGATCGACCACCTTCTCTGTGAATGCAGAAAATTTGAACCATGATGGCGAACATGTGACATGAACCACTTAGGAAACAATTAAATTCCTGAAAGACCCAAACTTGTATTTATGCAAATTCATATTTTCATGAATATGTAAGAATATGGTTGAGTGAAGGTAGGGACTCGGGCCGGCTTACGACCCGCAGACCTCTCGGTCCCAACGCCTGACTCCCCCACGCGCTAAGGGCTGGGTCAGGAAGGACCCAGCCACGTGCTCGCGCGACGCGGGCCTTGCTCTGAGGAAACCCCCAACCTGCCCCAGGGTTTCCCGGGGGTGTAAGAATATGGTTGAGTGAAGGTAGGGACTCGGGCCGGTTTATGACCCGCAGACCTCTACCCTGTCCCAACGTTTGACTCCCCCACGCGCTAAGGGCTGGGTCAGGAAGGACCCAGCCAGGTGCTCGCGCGACGCGGTCCTTGCCGGGTAGAAACCCCCAACTTGCGCCAGGGTTTCCCAAAGGCAAGAGAGGGGCGTCAAAGCCGGCATATAAGGACGCGTTAGGAGCACCGCGGGC